CAAAGAACACCACTCCAGCAATATAACATATAACTTTATTTACACACTTTTTGACATTAAATTTTCTTTCAATGAAAATTCATTTAAGTACATTTATTTCACATTTAGAGTATTTCTACCAGAATTAATAACAATTAGACATAGTTATTTTCGAAAGTTCAGTCCAAAAATTTTTTAGGGAAGCATCAGAGCATTACAAATGCTAACTAATTGCACAAATATTATCTTGTTCATCGTGGTAACAACTTGCGCAGCTACGCCAATTCTTTTTATAAATCCCGGAACGATGTTCGCTCATCCAGCTGTTATAATTAATTCTGAGATGGAAGATAATTTACCTTATGAATTACGAAATAATTTCTATAAAAATCCAAGTATTGCTGCTGGTCTCGCTAAGGAATCCTGGTTTATCGATAAGGAAATGCAGGTATATAATTTTTGTAATTTATCCAGATAAAACGTAATAATTAAACGTTCTTCAACACTTATTATTATTAATCTAACGATTTGATTTTTTTATACTCTATGAAATTGTATAAATTATAATATATTATTTATATTATTGCTACAGCATACTGTGCACTTCCTCACAATTATAAGTATTATATAATTATGAAATTACATCATTAACATCATAATAAACAAATTCGTTATATTTTAACACTATAGAAATAATTACGGCCACTTGCGTTAAGTAATTCAATTATACGTAATTCAATTAAGTATCCAAATATATTAAACTCGAACAGTTAGTTTTTTTTTTAGAATCCGTTTAATGTTACAGGTAATCGACCGAGAGGCGGACAAAATCCCAAAGGAAAAGATTTACAATGTGCTACATAACGCTGGACTCATTCGCAGATAATATTAAGATAATGAAAAATTGTTGGCGAATTTGAGTGGGAGCACTTGTGTGTACTGGTGTATATAAAAGTCGTTATACCGATTTAATCTGACAATGAATGTAAAGGTGAAAAACAAACATTAAAAATTAGAAAATACATCTTTTATTACATCTAACAATCACTATAAAGTATTAAGTATTTTACAATTTAACTGGTTTCTATGTTTATAATAAACATATATCTTTATGTCAATTTACAACGTCTTTAATTGACGTGCATCAGTGCGCACTGCAAGTGCGTCCAATCAAATTCGCTATATGTTGTTAAATATATTTCGGTTTCCATATATTCAATAATTTATCAGTGAAAAATGTAAAAGAGCCCATCAGAGCCTACATCAGCTATTCGGATGCACAAAAATTCTGTTTTTCGTGTGAACGTAATAAAACAAATAAAATATACGTTTTAACCCTTCAATTCGGGTTCTTATCAATGTAAAATATAAATCGAAATTACATAATTAACGCAAATTTCAAGTTGATGATTCCCGACAATTAATTCGTTCTTCTTTATCCAAATGCCAAATTAGCTATGTAATGAATAGCCCAATGATTATCAAAATTATTACATTATACAATAATAATATAAATTATTACACTATACAATAATAATATAAAACTTAATAATGCATGTTTAATGCATATAACTTCGGTTTTACTTTATGTAAGTTTTATTGATAAGGACCCGAATTGAAGAGCTGAAACGTATATTTTATTTGTTTTGTTACATTCACACGAAAAATAAAGAATTTTTGTGCTTCCAAATAGGCTTTGATGTAGGCTCTGATGGGCTTTTTTACATTATTTATTGATAGGTCTTTCGAGCCTCATTATATATTTGTTCAATAATTTAATTTCTTGCTCTTTGTCCGTTCGTTCAAGCTTATGCTCTATCATTCAGGATTTAATTAACACATAATGTTACATTGATATTTTATATTTGATATTTTATACTGTTTTTCCACATTCTGTAGGTTACAATCGGTTTTAGCTATTTCTTAATTATTTTGATTATGATCTTATAAATGTAATACCCACAATTACTAACAGCCTCTGATATACAATTCAATACTTACATAATACAATATTAATACATATAATATTATTGTAATATAATAGAAAGCTGTTATTTTATGTACAAAATATGCAGAACGCTCGTGTATTTTATCCATTAATTATATCAATCATAATTAATTAGATTATATCAAAGCTGAACTTATTGCACGATTTATCTTTTTCGTTTTTCTTTCCAATATGGAGAAAAAAAGAAGAAAGATGAATCGTACAAGACCTAATCAGCACACAATATTAAAAAAAATGTTTAAAATTGGATTTAAAAATATTTATTTAGTGTAAAAATATTAAATAAATGTTTTAAAAATGTATTATAAATATTGTGTGCTGATTGAAAAACTTTAACTAAAAAGAACAGATATATCTCAAACAGCATAAAATATTTATAATAAATATTTACTAATATTCATTTTTTGAAATGTCATGCATTATAGATATTTCACATACATATTTTATGTAATATTTACAATAAATATAAATAAATATTTCTAATAAGTATTTTTTACTTGGATTACACACACACACACGCGCGCGCGCCATTAAATATTTTCATAGCATTTACCATAACATTTACTATAACATTTAATATTTCATAATATTTATAATAAATATTTATAATCTGTGCAATCCCACAAAATATTTACAAAATATTTAAAATAAATCTTATAATTGAAAAACTTTAACTAAAAAGAACAGATATATCTCAAACAGCATAAAATATTTATAATAAATATTTACTAATATTCATTTTTTGGAATGTCATGCATTATAGATATTTCGCATACATATTTTATGTATCAAATATTTACAAATATTTACAAATATTTTGTAAATATTATATATATATTGTGTCTATCATATATATACATATGTATATAAAATATTGAATATTAATTTAGTAATACACACATTTTTACGTTTACATATTATGTATATGCAATATTTATGATTCCCAATTTACGAACATAGTGTGGATCATACAACATCCGTTTTCTCTGTAGTTCACTATTATTTTATCGACGTCAATTTTATCAACAGTGTCAGAAAAATGGATGCAGCTACGTAGTACCCGTAGAACCAAAAATAGATGTACTAGCGCTAATGTTCGTCGGTGTCACGAAAAATGTGCCAAAATGGTCTTTTTCTCTTTGACATATAATATATACATTCACGATTGCTACTGTACATGATAAAAAGAGAGTATAAACTAGTAGGGTATAAATGACGTGCGTACAACCAGAGAGACCTGAGAGAGGACATGACGGCCCAAAACTTGTACCCGCAAAATACTGTTGTGCACTGCCGCCTGAAGAAATGGATATTAACTACACAACAATATCCACCTTTTTGCGAAGCTCCTGATGGAAATAGATACTTAAAATTGCTAATATAAATAAAATTTATTAAATTAATAAAGATTTCAACAATTTCTGTGATTTATTTTCATCGGAAACACTGCAAAAAGGTGGATATTGTTGGGTAGTTTACATCTACTTCTTCAGAGGGCAGTAGTGCACGGCAGTATTTTTTATCTCAGGTTTCTCTCTGCATATAACTACCGACACCGACAAGATACTATTAAAAACAGTCAACCCTAGGCAAATTTTCGGCGGTATAAAAAGGGCCCTAAAGGTCCGGAAGTAATTGAAGAATGCTGACATTATCGACAATTGATATAAATTTGCTATTATTAACATAAATATTTAGCTCATACATTAAATTCATGATTTTTTATTACATAAAAATGTTCCATAAATAAATATGCACACTTGTAAAGCTATAATATCCTATATATTGCAGAAAAATTACAATTTTTGCTTGCAGTCATCTCTGTTGATAATCAAACTTTGATGATAACATTAAAATTACAATTTTAAAGAAAAATCAAGTATTATTGAGTTATAAATGCATAAATACGTCTACTAAACTAATAAATCATAAAATTAGTACAATATTATAAGTTTTTAACTCTTCTAATTACTTCAATATTCACAAGGACGCAAATTCCCGTAAGGATGTCGGTCTTTAATAGTATCTCATTGATACTACCAGCGATAAAATTGATAATGCGATTTACAAAATCCATCTCTAAAAAAAATAAAAAAAAAATAAAAAAAAAAAGATATTAACTTAATATGAAAAACATACAGCCTTGTTATTTAACACATTTTTTAACTGAGTTTTATAAGTATCTAAAATGATTCTGAAAAAACATTCCGGGAAAAAATATTTTTATATAAT